AAGTTCATAACTTCATATATAACTTAAAAGTTCGAACTTTGCTGTTCAATTCAGACCCTCGGAGTCTTCAGACTGGCAGCACTGTCAGTGCTCTCTCTCTCTCTCTCTCTCTCTCTCTCTCTCTCTCTCTCTCTCTCTCTCTCTCTAACGGGCAGGAGCGGCGGGTGCCACGTCGGAACGGTCGCTTTGAAATTGCTCGGGCCTGTACGAAACCCGCCACCTCAAAAACCTGCAATGTCTTGTGTCTGGACCTCTAGGCCATGTCCGGTGGGGTGAAAGGACACTTAAAAATCACCCCGTTATTTTTCGAGGGGCGGCTAGGACCCAACAAACGTCCTGGGCTGCCCCATTTTTTTATTTATTTTTTGCCCCAGGGGCCTCCATCCAGACATGGGGACCGGACACCGGACACTAGACACCGAACACCAGACTGTCTGGAACCCGGTCCGGACGTCCGGGTGGTTACCATGACTTTTTGTCTAATTCTGCTGGCCTACCACTACTCAAGTGCGGCCGTAAGCTTTGGGGGCCCACTTGCCACTCTACTTGAGTGTTTTTCCCCGCTTCAACCCTCAAAGTCAGGGCCACGGCCCTTAGGAAATACCAGGCGCGAGGGCCACATAAGCACACACGTACTCTGGCGGGTCACACACATGATCAAGCACTCAGGCATGCAAACAAATACACGGAAACCAGCAAGCATGCTCACACATCAAAATCTCAACAGAAAGCGGGAATGTGACGGGGCTGAGGCAACGAGGCTGGGAGAGAGGGAGAGAGGGAGAGCACACACACACTCACTCAACTCGACGCAGACTCGACACGACTCGACGGACGCAAAGACAACGTGGCAAAGTTGCAAAGTCGAAGTCTTGGATTTTAGAACACAATGTCGAAGCAAGTCACGTTGAAGCACAAGCACTGAGGCTGAAAACTGAATGCCCGTACTGGGCTCGAGTCCGGTCGGACTCAAGTTCAGTCCGGAGGGCAGAAGTGCCATTGCCTCAGGACTGAACTGATAATCGAAAGTCTGAGTCTGGGCGCCAGAATGTCGTATGGCACCAGTGTTGAAATCCGAAAGTGCCAAAGGAGGGATTTGAAAACGGGCGCCAAGTGCAGAGGGCGCCAACAATCAGAAATCGAAGAGCAGGAATCAAAGAAAAATAAAATAAAATAGCAGGCTGGCAGGTCGTACCCCGCGGACCAGGGATCGAGCCCTGGCTGAGCTCGTAACGCTATCCCCTCCGTCTAGAAGGCAACGTCCCGGCTGCCAAAAGCCATGAAACAATGTTGAAATCTGTGAAGGACGGGACGGGGCGATCACTGGTCAACATGTCAAAAGGAAGAGGGGTATAATGTGGGTGGCCTGGGTCGGGGAGTAAGAAGGAACAAGGTTATCCTACCAACTAGCTAAGGGGTTTTGCAGGGTATTTCTACTGACGTGCTAAGGGGGCTGGGAAGCACGGGGAACAAGGTCATCCTCGCAACAAGCTAAGGGGTTTTGCAGGAATCAGGGTAGTTCTACTGATGTGCTAAGGGGGCTGGGAAGCACAGGGAACCGAGTAATCATACCAACGAGCTAAGGGGTTTTGAAGGAATCAGGGTAGTTCTACTGATGAACTAGGAGGTTCAGGGCAAAACAGGTTATGTGGTCCTCAAAAAAAGGAAATTTGGCTTGCGATGTATGGGGCGAGGTTGCTGAGGATCAGGGATTTAGTGGTAGAGGTTGAAAGTTCTGTGTAGCAGTCCATGTAGATAGATGTCTTGAGAACAGATATTGAAGGGTGTCACAGAAATGTCGGTGGGAAAGCAGTCTTCAGCAGGTGTGTGATGTGGATGGCGAGAGCTTCAGCTTGAATGTCCCAGTAGCAGGATGCGTTTGGTACTCCGATCTGGTGCTGAGGTCTGATCCGGATAGCAGGTGGCAGACTGGTCTTGATGTCCCTGTCAGAGGTGCTGCTCCAGAAGTCTGCGAGTCCAGGGTGTCGGCCGAAGGGAACAGCATGGTGGCCAACCAGCTGTCGTATCCTCGTACTGAGTTGCAGCATGCCATCGTCCTCGTGCACCTGCCATCAGATCCATTATCGTCGGCGACGCGCAGGGGCCACATAGGGAACTTGGACAAGAGAGACAAGGATATGGCGGAGGACAAATGGGAGAAGGGGGCGAGACAGAGGCAAGAGCGGATCAGACAGAGGGAGGTCAAGGGGCAAGGGCTTTGCTGGGGGCGGGGGTGTGTGTAGGGCAGGATTGCGGGGTCAAGGCGGGGTTTATGCAAGGGTTTAGGGTTTGAGTTATATTATGTATCTACCACATAGGGTGAGCACGATCATAGGCACGAACAAGTTTCATAGCATTCTTAAGGTTAGCAAGAGGTTCCCATGTGGATTCTTCGTCAGGGTATCCTGTCCATTTAACTTTGTATTATGTGATTGGTTCAGGGTGGTCAGATACTTGAGTAGTTCTACGTCCTATAATGGCTTCGATGACAAATTCAGGGCCTGTGGTAACATGATTGGTGGAGGTCTAGGATATGGGCGGTCACCGGATTGGGGTGGGGATTCATGGTATTCTTTTAGCTATTCTACGTGGAAGACAGGGTGGACACGATTCATGTCAGGGGGGAGTTTGAATTTGTAGTTAACGGGGGAGGTTTGTTCAAGGATGAGGAACGGTTCGAGCCACTTGTTCGAGAGTTTCTTGGACAAGCCGTGTTTGGGTTCAAAGCGTTTGGCGGAAAACCAGACTTTGTCCCCTACTTTGAATGACACGTCACGTCTGTGTTTGTTTGTCTTGTTGGCTTGTTGTTCATAGGCGATCTCGGCGGCTGTGAGCAATTGGTCCCAGTCGTGTTGGTGTGGATGACAATACTTCCGCAGGATTCTTTGGAGAGTATCGTTCATCCTCTCGGTTTGTCCATCGGTCTGAGGGTGGAATGCAGTGCTATACTTAGAGTGGTTCCATATGCTTTGAAGAGGTGTTTCCACAATTGTGAGAGGAAGTGGGGATCACAGTCACTGATGATGTTCTCGGGGAGGCCGTGATGGCGTGCGACATGATCGAAGAAGAGGGTGGCGACATCTTTGGCACTGTGCGAAGTTGTGCAAGGGATGAAGTGGGTACGTTTGGTTAAGCGGCAGACAATGACGTAGATGCAATCATGCCCGCGGTCGGTCTTGGGGAGGACGCACACGAAGTCCATGGAGATGGACTGCCACCGGTGAGTTGGGATGGGCAATGATTGGAGTTTGCCGGGTTTGGCCCGTTTCGAGGGGTTGACAACTTGACATGTGGGGCATAAGCGAATGTATGTTGTGACGTCGGCGAGCAGGGAAGGCCAATAGAAGTAGCGGAAGATGGTGTCGAAGGTTTTTTGGACACCGAGGTGTCCTGCGGTCTTTGCGTTGTGGTGCTCGGCCAAGAGTTGAGTACGGAGACCACGTGCGTCGGGATGCAAAGTGAGCGGGTGCCTTTGGTATCGATGTAGAGAAGGTTGTCGTGAAGGGAGTAGTCGGGGATTGGGTCAAGATCGCAGAGCTTGTTGTAGATGGTGGCGAAGTCTGGGCAAGTGTATCGGTGATGGAGTGATAGGAGAAGTTGGATATGAGTCATGGCGGCGTAGACTTTCTCAGGGGGCTTGTGGTCGGGTCGTCGAGAGAGGGCATCCGCAACGCGGTTGCTTTTGTCAGGGGTATGGCAAATGGTGAGATCGAACTGGGCAAGGAAGTCTAGCCAGCGGGCTTGGCATGGAGTGATATCTTTCTTGGAGAGGATGGAGGAGACGGATGGTGAAGTATTGCCCGTCGAGGTACGGGCGCCAGACTGTGAGGGCGTGAATCACGGCGAGGAGTTCCTTCTCGTTGGAGGGGTAATTCATCTCGGCGGGAAGGAGCTTCTTGCTTGCGAAGGCGATGGGGTATTCGGCGGGTGGAGCCTCGGGGTGAGTGGGCGAGTCCTTGAATGGCGAGTGGGGTCGGCGATCTTGAGGATAGGGGCGGTGGTGATGGTTTGCTTGAGTAAGTTGAAAGCATTTTGGCGGCGGTCGTTCCAATTGAAGGGCTCGTCCTTGCGGGTGAGTTCGTGGAGAGGGTAAGAGATCTCAAAAAAGTTGCGAATGAACGGGCGGTAATAGTTGGCAAGGCCGAGGAAGGAACGAAGTTGGAGGAGGGGGTTTTGGGCGGGGGTTACTCGACGAGGGTTGTGACCTTCGAGGGTTCCATACAGATGCCTTTATCGAAGACAATGTGGTCGAGGTATTCGACGCTCGAAGAGGCAAATGTACATTTGCTGAGCTTGGCGTAGAATTTCTGCTCTCGGAGGATCGAGAGGACTTGGCGAATATGCTGGAGGTGGGACTCGAAGGTGGGGCTGAAGATGAGGATGTCGTCAAGGTACACGACGACACATTCTTTGAGGAGGTCACAAAAGATGTGATTCATGGTGGACTGGAATGTGGCGGGGGCATTGGTGAGTCCGAAAGGCATTATGAGGAACTCAAAGTGCTCGAACCGAGAGCGGAATGCGGTCTTATAGGTGTCCTCCTCGCGCTTACGGATATGGTGGAAGCCACTTCGAAGGTCAATCTTGGTGAAATATTTGGCTCCACGAAGTCGAACAAGGAGCTCGGAGATCTAAGGTAAGGGGTACTTGTTCTTGATCGTGATCCGGTTCAAGGCGCGGTAGTTTGTGCACATGCGGAGTTTCGAAGTTTCGCCTTTCTTTACAAAAAGGCAGCTAGTACCGAAGGGAGATGCACTCGGCTTAATGAATCCTTTTTCAAGGAGCTCATTGAGTTGCTGCTTCATTTCTTTGGCTTCGGGGATCGAGAGGTGGTATGGAGGGCGACAAGGTGGAGAATGTATGGGCTCCAAAGCGATGGTATGGGATACGCCACGACCTGGAGGTAATCTGGCAGGTAGGGACTCGGGGAAGTCCTTGAACTCGTCGAGGATAGAGGTGAGGGCGGGGCTAGAGGGGGGGGCTTGATCGGGTTTGTCCGTTGGGAATAAGTCCTCGGGACTTTCGCGGTCAAGGACAAGGCAATAGTAGGCGGAGTCGGGGTTCATGCAGGCCATGTGGAGGAATTGATGCGGGGTGAAGGATCCTTGGAAGGTCGAATATGGGAGATAGGGAATGTGGATGGTTGTGTCGGGGGGGTTAGTGAGGCGAAGAAAGTTGGGGTGGAATGTGTATGGCATGTAGCGGTCCAGCCACGGTGTTCCTAAGACGATGTCACACATCAAATGCATAGATCGGGTTTGTCCGTTGGGAATAAGTCCTTGGGACTTTCGCGGTCGAGGACAAGGCAATAGTAGGCGGAGTCGAGGTTCATGCGGGCCATGGAGGAATTGATGCGGGGTGACGGAACCTTGGGAGGTCGAATGTGGGAGATAGGGAATGTAGATGGTTGTGTCGAGGGGGTTGGTGAGGCGGAGGAAGTTGGGGTGGAATGCATATGGCATGTAGCGGTCCAGCCACGGTGTTCCTAAGACGATGCCGCACATCAAATGCATGACATCAAATGAGACCAGACTGCAGAGGGTTCCTACTGTCATGGTGGTCTCGAGAACTGTGCGGTCCATTACGACGACGGTGTCTTTGTCCCCAAGACGGATCGTAATCGGGGAGTCGTAACCGGTAGAGGTAAGACCGGCTTTTCAGACACACGCATCGGTGATGGCATCGGTGATGAAGTTATCGGTGGCTCCTATGTCTAGGAGGGGCCGAAACTTAGTGGTAGACGCACCAAGGGTGGCGGCGATGAATTTGAGGTGGAAACGGGATGAGTTGGCGGTGGAGATGATGGTGTTGAGGCGGCGTTGTTCGTTGCCTAACCGAACAAGCCGATCGAGTCGAGCTTGTTTAACAACACCGGAGAAGGTGACAGAGGATGGATTTGGAAGGAGGGTGGAGGAGCACGAAGCAGTGGGGGGCGTCTCAACTGATGAAGGTTGCAACGCCTCGGGGTCATCCGATGGAGAGGGTGTCACCAGGGAGGGGGGAGGCAGACGGATTGTCGATGCCAAATGGGTCGTCGGTGGGACGGGGGATGTCATGGACGGGTTGGCCAGCAGACGAGTTGTCAACGCCGGGACGAGGTTTTGAGGAGTATGTTCAGGACGAGGAGGGACCTGCGCCTGCGGAGGGGGGTGACGTGGAGGTTGCGGGTCGAGGGGTCGAGGATTGGCGGGTGAACTGTCCAGCATTATGGCTGTTAGTTTGTTGGTGTCCTAACTGGCAACAATGGAAACATCCACCCTTTGCTTGAAGGTAGGCTCTTTTCTCAGGTGTGAGTTTCTTGAGGCGGCCCGGGGCGGTGGTCGGGGAAAGGCGGCTCGAGCGATCTCTCTTTTCCATTCGCATGAGGTGAATGGCAGAGAGTTCGTCGGGGGAGAGTGATGTGGTGTAGTGGATCGGGGAGGGTGTCAAGGTTGGGAGAGGAGGTGGTGTCCTCGGAGGCGATGTTGTGGAAGAAGCGAGGGCGGGGAGGGGCTGATGTAAGTGCGGTCTTGTAGGGGGAGAGGATACGATCGAGCTGGAGGGTATGAGTGAGGAGGTCGGTGAGGGTCATGGGGGGCTCGTGGACAAGGGCGGCCGCTAGGTCTTTGCAGCAAACGCACTTAACGTGGGAGATGAAAGCGAAATCGTTGATGAAGTCAAAGGGGATATGTTGACGAAGCGAGCGGACGTACTGCACAAAATGGTCGGTTCGTCCAATTTGTTGGAGCCGACAGAATTGGTCGATATAGTCGTCGACCGTTTTCTGTGGGCGGAAGGTTGAGGTGATGAGGGTGGCCCACTCAAGGAAGGTGTGAGGCCGGAGACCGGCGTGATGGCGATTAGACATTTCGGTGTACCACCATCGAGCAGCGTTGTCCAGAAGTCGGCCGCCAGCGATGCGGAGCCAGTGGATGACGGGGATGTCGTGGAGGGATGAGGCTTGTTGGAGTTTGGTGAGAAAGAGGAGGACATCCTCATGGGGTTGGCCCGAGAAGGTGGGGATTTCGTTGACGCGGAATGACGGGGTGATTTTGCCTTCTGTGGGTTTACTGGTGGCAAGGGTGTTGAAATCAAGGGTGGGAGAGGGATAGTCGAACAGGGTGAAATCATTGACGGGGTTGGTGGGGATGAGAGCATTTGGGGGAAGTAGTGGAGGAGCGGGATACACAGCTTGTGGAATGATCTGGGTATAGGTGGGGATGGTTAAGGTAATGGTGGAGGTGGATACGAGCGGTTTTGATTGGGGGGGGATGATTGATGACTGTGTGATGACAGGGGTTGTCGTCTTGGGCGAGGGGGGATGTGGAGCGACCATGGTGGAGGTAGTGGTGGATGAGGGTGAGGGTGTACAGGTGGACGGTGTTGGTGTGGAGGTTGAAGCGGAGGCTTGTCGGGAGGCGGGGGTGGGTTGGGGTGTGGAGGAGGGGCGGGGGAGTTTCCTCGAGCGTGGTGACACGATCGGAGATGGCGGCCATGGTGGTGTTGATGGTGGCGAGGGAGGATTTGAGGGCGGTCAACATTTGGAGGATAGTTGCGAGTTTCGGGGTGGTGGTGGTCGAAGTTGGCTGATCGCCTGCGAGTTCGCGGGCAATGCTGTTGACGGAGTCGGAATGAAGATCAGACATGTTGATGAAAGATTGGGCCATGGTGGGGAAAGCGGGGGTGAATGACGTGGTCGGAGCGGAAGTGGGGCGGTAGCAGCGGATGTGATAGCGGCAGCGGTGGCGGCGATAGCGGCAGTGGTGGCGGTGATAGTGGCAACGACGTCAGCGGCGACGCCTTGGGAGGTCTTGGTTTGGCGTGGTGGCATGTGGAGATGGGGGAGACAATTCCTATTTACAAGAATAGGGCGTCATCAAGTGAGCAATGAAGGTAGCAAAGAATCGCAAAGCAAAAATTAATTTTCAATAAATTAATTTGAATTTATTCGAAATTAATTTGGGAGCGTATTTTTCAAGAAATTATGATAGCGGAATTTTCAGGAGTTTCCAAATGAAGAAAAAAAAGAACAACTAATTCCGAAAAGATAAATTTCTCCGAAATTTATTCGGATTTATGTTTAGGGTAAAATTTTATAATTTCGAAAAGGGGTGGAGTGGTGGCATGTGGAGATGCGGGAGACAATTCCTATTTACAAGAATAGGGCATCATCAAGTGAGCAATGAAGGTAGCAAAGAATCGCAAAGCAAAAATTAATTTTGAATAAATTAATTTGAATTTATTCGAAATTAATTTGGGAGCGTATTTTTCAAGAAATTACGATAGCGAAATTTTCAGGAGTTTCCAAATGAAGAAAAAAAAGAACAACTAATTCCGAAAAAATAAATTTTGATGAAATTTATTCAGATTTATGTTTAGGGTAAAATTTTATAATTTTGAAAAGGGGTGATTAATTTCGAGGAAAAGAGATTAATTCGGTCGTGAATTAATCGAGTTTAGTCACAATTAATTAGCTGCGTTATTTTTTCGGATATCTGGATGGTCCAGGACCATCTGGTTTATCCGGCCGAAAGTTAAACCCCGGAAGAACCCGGAAATTACTCTTCTGGGGCCTGCGCAAAATAGGCGCAGGGCCTTTTCCACGGGGTTAGGGGTGCGAATGGGTTTTGATCGACCCCTAGAACCCCTTCGTGGTGGTGGATCCAGTGAAGGCCCTACATGATTTGAAAAAAAAAAGGCCCGCTCTGGGCCGTCGATCCACTAAGATCAACTGCCCAGATGGGGCCATTTTTGAATTTGAATCCGAGCCAGCCAATTTCGGACTGCGCCGTCCCTCCCGAGCAACGGCCCGGTGCCCCATCGCTGCGGTGCTCGCTACTCGTCTGCCTTCCCACCCCCTCTGTTCCCGCGGACGACCCTTTGCCTCGTTGCTCCGCTGCCCCGCTGGTGTGCTGCCCGAGTCATCGCCGCCGCCGGTGCAACCTTTGTCTGGACCCTTCTCCTCCTCCATCGACATCGAGGTGAGCTTACGCCCGTCCTCCCCTTTCTTCCACCTCCACCACCTCCTCCTCGTCCTCTTCCTCCTCCTCCTCTTCCTCGCTCTCCTTCTCCACCTCCTCATCTTCTTCTTCTTCATCCTCGTCCTCCTCTTTCTCTTCCTCCTCGTCTTCTACTTTTTCTTCCTCCTCGTCCTCCTCCTCCTCCTCCTCCTCCTCCTTGTCTTCCTCGTTCTCCTCCTCCTCCTCTTCCTCCTCTTCCTCCTCCTCCGCCTGGTCCTCTTCCTCCTCTTGTAGTTCTTCTTCCTCCTCGTCAGTTGCTACATGCCCAGGAGCTGCCGGCGTATCTACCCTGCACTGTTGCTATTCACTTTTCTACCTTGCAACAGGAGGAGGAAGGATGACGAGGAGGAGGAGGAAGGATGACGAGGAGGGAGGAGGAGGAGGAGGAAGAGGAGGAAGAGGAGGAGGACGACCAAGAAGATGTAGAAGACGAGGAGGAGGAGGAGGACGACGAGGAGGAGGAGGACGAGGAGGGGGAAGAAGAAGAAGATGTAGAAGACGAGGAGGACGAGGAGGACGACGAGGAGGAGGACAAGGAGGAGGGGGAAGAAGAAGAAGATGTAGAAGACGAGGAGGACGAGGAGGAGGACGAGGAGGAGGAGGACGACCAAGAAGAGGAGGAGGAGGAGGAGAGGGAGGACGACGCAAAAGAGGCAGAGGAGGAGAGGAGGAGGGCAGAGGCGGACAGGCAGGACGAGGAAAAAGTGATGGTCGGGGCAGCACGGGGAGGGGGGTGTTGCCAAGTCAGGGGAGTGGGAGGCCGACTGTGTCGCGCCGATCCCCCTCTCTCGCCGCCAACTTCATCGCAGCAGCCCCCCCGCCCCCCAGCTGTTTCGGATTTTTTTTTTTTTTAAAGTCATTCTTCATACAAAAAAAAAGGAGGATTGATTGATTACCAATCGAATCGATTGATTCAGTCGGATCAATCTATCAATCAATCAATCAATCAATCGATCGATGAAAAAAAAAAGGCAAAATGTAATCCAATCGAATCAATCGATTCGATTACATTTTGTCTTTTTTTTTTCATTGATTGATTGATTGATTGATTGATTGATTGATCCGATTGATCGATTCGATTGGATAATTGGATAATGTTTTTTTTTTTTTTTTTTTTTTTGATTGATTGATTGGTTGATTAAGTGGGGAACAGAAAAGTGAAACTGTTTTCACCTCTCAGCAGTAGCAGATGCAGTGCCCAGGGTTCGATCCTTAGACCTTGCCTTCCCCATGTACAGTACCCGTGTAGACCCCGAGAGTCAACCTGTGACCTATGTATTCGTAGACAGTTGATAGGTCTGTCGTAGGTCTGTAGGTAGCCGGGGTTCGATCTGTAGATCTATAGAGTAGAAGTCTTAGTGAGTCCAGAAGCTTAGCTGTAGTCCTTCTAGAAGGTAGGCAAGTGGGCAAGTGGGCAAGTGGTCAAGTGGCGAGGCAAGTGGTGGACTAAACTGCAGTGCAAACGCAGTACGACGACGATAGGATAGCAGTGAGTCCACAGTCAGTCAGCGGTAAGGTCCAGTCAGTCCCAGTCTGGTCCAGCAAGTACCACGGGGGACTGTGAACACCATGGGCCGATGGCAAAGGGCAGACCAACGAGTTTCCGAAATATAAATCAGCCATGCAGAAGCGCTGCCACAGCGACTTGTGCAAGGAGGTCTGCAGTGAGCCCGGAGGACGCAGTGGGCGAGAGAGGAGTTAGCATAGCGATAGGTTAGAGGCAGCCATAGCTGACATAGCTGTAGTTATTGGGAAGAGTGTGTGTGCATGTGTGAGTGTTCAGAGTGACGTGTGTGGGATATCCAGGGTGATCCAGTGTATGTGAACAGCGAGTTGAGTGGGCGCTTGTCGCCAGTTTGCTGTGATGCTGTTTGCATGCATGAAAAGTGAGAATAAGGCAAGTCTGATTGCATTGGTATCGAAGCTGGTACCCGCTATTCCATGCGCGCCGTCGTGTGCAGGGGCAGACGCGCCATAGCAGAGGTGGCCGCCGAAGGTAGAAGTCAGCCATAGCGGACCTGAGGTTGAAGAAGCCACCGCGCACCTTCAAGAAGATCACGACGAAGAAGAAGAGAGAGAGAGAGAGAGAGAGAGAGAGAGAGAGAGAGAGAGAGAGAGAGTTGAGCGATACAAGTTTGGTTGTCACTTAGCTGCGAAGCGAGTTGTGCAGTCCCACGAAGGAGGAGGAAAGCGGCTATAGCCGCAGAGCATCATCACGGAGTAACGAAGGAGGGAGAGAGAGAGGACAGAGAAGGGGGAGACCGAGAGGAGTAAGGGAAGCCATAGCCGAAAGGAAGAAGAAGAGGTGATCAAAAAAAAAAAAAAAAAAGGAAAGAAGAAGACAGCGGGGTGAAAGGAGGCGAGGGACATGAAGCGGAGAAGAAGGTTGGCGAGGAAGAGGAGCCGGCAGCCATAGCTGACCAGAGGGTTGACCAAGAAGGTTGGCCGGGGGTGTTGATCGGCGTTTACCGAAGTTGACCGGGGCTTGACCGAGGGTTGACAGCAGCGTTGATCGGCGTTGACCAAGGCTGTTGACCATGACTTTGACCAAGCTGGAGTTGGTAACATCTTGCCAAGCCCTTAGCCTACCCCTTGCCCTATGGATGTGCACATACCCCTCGGTACTTGTTGAGTCAAGTCAGTCTGTCTATTCTTTCTGCATCGAGTCCCTTTTGACCACTCCCCTACCGGATCTAGTAGGGTTGAGACTGTGGCGGATCCAACTGTCCAGGTGGGCATAACCCTCCCAAGGACCAGTGCTGACCGGCTGGACACGGTTGGTATGGTACAGTGGGCATGAAAGATTGAGTTGCGGGCTGAAACAACAGGCAGTCTAAGTGTTGAGGGCCTTGTTTATCCGAACCCCTGTCAGACTAAGTAAGGCTAAAGTCTGTGTCTGATGACTCGACGGTCCCGGAGGTCAAACCCTCCCAAGGACCGGTACTGACCGGCGGCTGCTTGGTGTGGCACGGTAGGCCTGAAAAGCTGAGTTGTGGGCGGTGCGACAGGTAAAGACCTGCTGATCCCGTCGTCCTGTTTGCGACGTTAAAGACAGCAAAAGGTCTAGTAGTGACAGCCATAGCATAGGTCTAGGCTAGAGACCATAGTTGACAGGATCCTTGTCAGGATTCTGTATGTCCTTAGATTGAGTCAGTAGGTTTGTCAGTCAGGGGTTAGAGTCAACGTGGTGAGGTTTGGAACCGCCACCCGGTTGTGCACTTACCACCATGGTTGAGACCCGCGGTGGGGAGTACTAGCCCCTACACCCAGGAGCAGCAAGAGAAGATGGCCGCCATAGTGAGAGAAAATAGAGAGAGGAAGGAGCTCTTGAAGCAAGCGAAGTTGAAGGCTATCGCAGAGGAGCAGGCGACAAAGATGGAGCTGGAGGAGGAGATGGAGAAGAAGAAGAAGGCTGCTGAAGAAGAAGCGGCAACCGAAGCAGAGGAGGAGAGAAAACGAAAGGGAAAGGAAGCAGAGAGCAGTGGCGCGATGAAAGAAGAAGTAGAGATGGAGAAAAAAATAAGTGAGTGGATCGCTAATTTATCGTTGGGGGAAGATGAGGAGGCAGAGTTCTATGTCCCACAGGACGAGAGAGACGCGCTGGCCAACGAGCTAGCAGCGATGGAGAACCCTCTGGAACGAAGGGAGAGAGAAGAGGAGAAGAAATTGGAATGGAAGCTGAGGATGAAGAGAGAGAAGAAGAAGAGGAGGGAGGAAGTTAATAGGTTGACCGCGGAAGTGGCGAAAGTGCAGGATTGTAGGCGAGAAGTGGGAGCACAGACAAATATTTCTGCCAATATGGATAAGATGTTGGGTTACCTGGAAGTGTTGAGTGCCGCTTGGATGGAGGAGCGCCAGGCCAGTTGGAGTCAGGAGGTAGCCCTGGGTGCCATGCGGTCGGGATTCGGGGATTTTGCGCGCGATATGGTTACCCATTTTGGAGGGGAAGTTAGGAGATTGAGAGATAGCGTGGGGAAGTTCTGTGAAGGCGCCATTGAGGGTGCCAAAGCCATAGTCGTTGTAGAGGGAGAGGCCACACCCCGTAAGGATCCAGTTAAACTTAAGTTTCCTGATGCACACGGGGGGAAGGAAGAAAACTTTGACAACTGGGAAGCCATTGTCAATAGTTATATTTATTTACAACACATCCTGACAGAGGAGCAAGTTCTCGTGGCCTTCCAGGCCCTCAAGGATGAAGCGGCAAGTTTCGCTAGGTCCCTCGCTCACGCAGCCGGTTGTGAAAACAACCTGGTTGCTTACTCCAAAGTTACCCCCGTTCCTCAATTCCTCAAGTTCCTCAAGGAGCGATTTGTTGACCCAACGAAAGGCATTAGAGGCTCTGACAAGCTGGAAACAATCCACTCGCGACAGTGGAGGAGTGCAAGGGCACTCAAAGGTACCATGGACGACTTGGTAGCCGTTCCGGATCATGGGGTCACTGAGACCCAATTGGTCCAGCTATTTTATCGTGCCATGCCAGAGGCCCTGCGTGGGCATTTCTTTGATAAGACTGAACAGGCCGGCATCACCTATGAGAAGTCGTCCTGTATGAGTCAAAGTCTATGCCAGTTACCACCTTCTGGCACAAGGACTTGGATAAGGGGAAAAGGTGGAAGGGTCGTACCATCTCAGGCCAAGTGAGGGCCAAGGATCACATGATCCTTACCTTAGAGGAAGGTGGTACTGATGCGGTCCCGTATAGTCAGATTGAATGGGGCCTAGAGGAGGAGGACAGTAGCGTGGGACAGGGGAGGTCTTATGCTGCTGTCGCGGCTGGAGGAAGGCTGCGACAGGGGGTTGGCGGCCAAGGAAACGGCCAAGCGGGAGGCCAAGGAAACGGCCAAAGGGGCCAGGCCATGGGAGGCCGAGGATCGGGCACACAGGGGGTTGGCGGCCAAGGAAACGGCCAAGCAGGAGGTAGGGGTCAAGGTCCCCCGTCAAATCGCCAGGGTAATCGGTCCCCACAACGAAGAGGTGGAAGGGCACCTCAAGGAGGATGGCACCCAGGCTTGCCACAGGGCAGGCCCTGGGAAGACTTGGGCTTGGACCAGCATTTATGGCAGGAACGCGTGAACATGGGTCAATGCGTGTTTTGTGGTGACCCAGCTCACGTAATAAAATTTTGTCCAAAGTATAGGCAGGCCCGTTGGGCTGCTCGATTGTCAAAAGGCAGCCGCCAGTAGGGGTCGCAATTGCCCCTACTTCAAGGCCATGTGGAGAAGTGAGAGCGCGCGAACAGGACACTCCCAACCCACATGAGCCTACTGCAGAGGTTGCAGGCCGGTGCCTAGATAGCTGTCCGGAGACTGCTTGTGTTAGCATCTCTTTAGGCACGTCCCTCGCAGGCGTGGCAGAGGAACTGAAGGAGAGGATGCCCTCCTGGGCCAAAATGAAAAAGGACAGTAAAGGACGACTGATCTTGGTAGACGTAGAGGTGTTTAGGAGTAGGGCTGGGGCCCTTATAGATTCAGGGGCCACCCGCAGTTATATTAGTCGTAGGGCGCTGAAGAAGTTGAGGTTGGGATTAAAAGTCCAGAAATTAGCAGACCCCATAGTCAGTGTCCTCGCAGACAACCGCACAATGTGTGTTGAGGACTATGTAGAGGGAGTCCAGGCGTATTTTCGCCTAGAGAAGGATGGGAAGGTGGAGAAAGTTCTTCACTCCCCGACTCTTCTCATACAAGATGACCTTCCTTTTGATGTAGTGTTAGGAATGGATTGGGGAGAGGCGGCAGGGGCCACACTCCATTTGAGAGAGCATGAGTGTAGGCTCCCGAGTCCATCAGGTGAGGTAAAGACCGCCCGCCTGTTTCATGTGTTAGGTGTAGATAACACCTTGGCACATTGTTATCCCAGTGCTCCCGCGTTCGCGCGATGAGTAAAAAAGGAGCAGTTAGAGGAACAGGTCTTTGTAGTTTATGTTAGACCTGTCACTGAGGCCAAGAAAGAGGATAGTTCTACAGACCCAACCATAGCCAAGCTGTTGGAAGAATTCAAAGACTTGACTGAGAAGCCGACAGGAGTAGTGTCGCGACCATCCAACACAGAATAGAGATAGAGTCTGGCAGTAGAACTCCTAAGGGAGCAGTCTATAGGATGTCCCCTAGAGAGTTGAGAGGAGCTTCGCAAGCAGTTAGACAAACTCCTTGAGAACGGTTGGATCAGGCCCAGTTCGTCTCCATTTGAAACACCTGTCCTACTTGTCCCCAAAAAGGAAGGAGAGTTGAGAATGTGTATGGACTATAGGGGTTTGAATGCTATCACAGTGAAGAATGCAGAGCCGCTGCCCAGGATAGACGATCTTTTAGATCGGGTGCAAGGTTGTAAGTATTTTTGTAAGATAGACTGCGTTCCGGACTCGTTATGGGCACTATGAGTTTATAGTAATGCCCTTTGGACTAACCAATGCGCCAACTACTTTTCAGCGTTGTATGAATGACCTGTTTAGGCCATGGTTAGATAAGTTTGAAGTAGTCTATTTAGATGACATCTTAGTTCTTAGTAAGACCCTCCAGGAGCACCAGGGTCATCTGAGGCAGCTCTTGGAGAAGCTTAGAGAGGCTAACTTCAAGATCAATGCAAAGAAGTGCGAATGAACCAAGACACAAGTTTTGTACTTGGGCCACGTATTAGACGGAGATGGCATCAAGCCAGAGGACAGCAAGATAGCGGCGATTAGAGATTGGTCGATGCCCCGCACATTGACAGAGTTGCGGTCATTCTTAGGCCTAGCCAACTACTATAGAAAGTTTGTGAGGAACTTCTCCAGTATCGCCGCTCCTCTGCGCAGATTGCTTAAGAAAGAGGAAATCTGGCAATGGGACAAAGATTGTACGTCTGCGCCCAAGAGGATAAAGCGCGTTAATAGAGTATCCTGTCCTCAAAGTAGTTGATCAGTCCTTGCCATTTGTCGTCACCACGGACGCAAGTCAGTATGGAATAGGCGCCGTGTTGCAACAGGATGACGGGCATGGCTATAGACCCGTAGAGTTCATGTCCACTAGGATGCCCTCAGAGAAGGTAGCCACCTCGACGTACGAGAGCGAACTCTACGCTCTCAGGCAGGCTCTAGACCATTGGAAGCATTACCTGCTTGGGAGGCACTTCAAAGTGTATTCTGACCACGAGATTACCTGCTTGGGAGGCAAGTGTATTTTGACCACGAGACCCTTAGATGGTTAAAGACCCAGGCCAAGATGACACCGAAGTTAACTAGGTGGGCCGCAAAGATAGACCAATATGACTTATGACTTTGAGCTTAAGCAAGTGAAAGGCAAGTACAATGTAGTTGCGGATGCTCTGAGTAGGAGATCAGACTACTTTGGAGCCATAGTACACTATTTGGATATAGGGAGAGACCTGCAGGAGAAAGTGAAGCAAGCGTATGCGCTGGACCCTATCTATAGCGACCTTCTAAAGTGAGTCAGAGAGGCCCCTGAGCCAAATTATCGCACTACGGACGGATTGTTGTTTGAGAAGACTAACGTATTCGAGTGTCTGTGCGTTCCCAACAGCGAAGAGATCCGTAGTTTGATCCTAGGGGAATGCCACGATGCCGAGGGACTAATGCGTGCGTATACCTGGCCAGGGATGAAGAATGACTGCATAGAGTATGTCCGCAGTTGCAAAGTCTGCCAGCGTAATAAGACTACTACGTGTGCACCCCTTGGTCTACTCAGACCCTTGCCTATTCCGGATCAGCCGGGAGACTCAGTGTCCATAGACTTCATGGACACCCAAGTCAAGAGCCGGCATGGTAAAAGCCAAGTCATGGTCATAGTTGACCGGTTTAGTAAGTATGCAGTTTTTGTCCCTCTGCCTGCAGAGGCACGTACGGATTTAGTGATACAGAAGTTCTTTGACTTTTGGGTTAGTGAGAATGGCATCCCATTGTGAATAGTCAACGATAGAGATAGTCGCTTCACCAGCCAGAACTGGCAAGAACTCATGCGAGTGTACGGGTAATGTCATATGGCCGACATCCAGAGACAAACGGTTAGACAGAACAGATGAACAAGATCCTACAGCAAGTTCTGCGTATGTACATTACACCAGATCAGATCAACTGGGATGAGATGTTGCCTAAGGTAGCTAGTGCATACAACAACAACGTGCATCTATCCACCTGCCGCACTCCCAATGAGCTGCACAAGTCCTTTAGACCACGCAGACCATTCAAAGGACTGAACCGGGATCAGATCCACAGACTACCGCTCGGTACTAGGGAGTGTGCAATACAACATGAGAAAGAATTAGCAACTGTTGTTGAAAACCTCAGGAAGGCGCAGCAAAGAATCATAGAGCAGGCTAATAAGCACCGTCGCCCTTCGCAGTTTCAGGTAGGCGACTTAGTATGGGTCAAGGCTAAAGAGTTTGCACCTGAGGAAAACATCTCTGTGTTCCACGCTTCAAAGCTGTTGTCGTGTGTCACAAGCCAACAGTTCCGACGATCTATGATTCCTCCGGATATGGACGGAAGTTATGACATTGAAGGTATTGTAGACGAGGATCGACCGCTGGTTCACCAGAGTAGAACTTCTAGAGACAGCTCCCGATATAGTCAGAGCATATGAGCGTGACAGAAAAGGTAAAGGTCCCGCCTTGGACTAAGATGTTCTCGGAGGACCTCGAATTTAGGACGGCGGGAGTGAAACGGTTTTCACCTCTCAGCAATAGCAGATGCAGTACCCAAGGTTCAATCCCTAGACCTCGCCTTCCCCATGTACAATACCCGTGTAGACCCCGAGAGTCGAACCTGTGACCTATGTATTCGTAGACAGTTGATAGGTCTGTCGTAGGTCCGTATGTAGCAGGGGTTCGATCTGTAGATCTAAAGAGTAGAAGTCTTAGTGAGTCCCGAAGCTTAGTTGTAGACCTTCTAGAAGGTAGGCAAGTGGGCAAGTGGTCAAGTGGCGAGGCAAGTGGTGGACTAAACTGCAGTGCAAACGCAATACGACGACGGTAGGGTAGTAGTGAGTCCACAGTCAGTCAGCGGTAAGGTCCAGTCAGTCCCAGTCTGGTCCAGCAAGTACCATGGGGGACTGTGAACACCATGGGCCGATGACAAAGGGCAGACCAACGAGTTTCCGAAGTATAAATCAAGAGGCAGCGCCCAACCATTCATTCATTCTTGTGTGAGCCATGCGGAAGCGCTGCCACAACGACATGTGCAAGGAGGTCTGCAGTGAGTCCGGAGGACGCAGTGGGGGAGAGAGGAGTTAGCATAGCGATAGGTTAGAGGCAGCCATAGCTGGCATAGCTGTAGTTATTGGGAAGAGTGTGTGTGCATGTGTGAGTGTTCAGAGTGACGTGTGTGGGATATCCAGGGTGATCCAGTGTATGTGAACAGCGAGTTGAGTGGGCGCTTGTCGCCAGTTTGCTGTGATGCTGTTTACATGCATGAAAAGTGAGAATAAGACGAGTCTGATTGCAAAAGGGGGGTCAGGGTGGTTTAGGGGCGAAAGCCTAATCGATTGGACTACGAGGAGGAAAGGGCCGAGGAGGAGGAGGAGGAGGAGGAGGAGGCGGAGGAGGAACAGGAGGCGGAGGAAGAAGGATGACGAGGAGGAGACGGCGGAGGAGGAGGACGAGGAGGAAGGATGACGAGGAGGAGGAGGAGGAGGAGGAAGAAGAAGATGTAGAAGACGGCGAGGGGGAGGAGGAGAGGGAGGAGGAGAAGGAAGAAGACGAAGTAGAAGACGAGGAGGAGGAAGAGGAAGAGGAGGAGGAGGAGGAGGGGGAGGAGGATGAAGAAGAAGATGCGAAATAGGAATAGGAGGAGGAGAAGGATGATGAGGAGGAAGAAGAGGACGGGTTCCAGTCGAACATTTTTCGGTTTATCGAGAATTCTGGATAAACAGGATGCCGGATAAAGCAGCCGGATATTCCGGTCACTTGATCCGGCTGGAAATGATAAACAACTTAGTTAATTAGGGAGTTCGGAAAAAATAAAGTACTTCTGAATAAAAAGAGAATTTCAAAAAAGAATTGCGGAAAATAAATTTTCGAATTTCAAGAAAAATTGCAGAAAATAATTTTATGAATTAGAATATATGAGAAAAATAATTAATTAGAATTTATTTCGAATTTCCAAAAGAAATATCGTAAAAGAATTGAATTCATTCTAACGTTTTCCAAAATTTTTGGAAAAAAATGAAGTAAAAAGTAGTTGCGAATTTCGAAAAAAAAATGTTGAGAAAGAAGTGATTAATCCGAACGAAAAGAATTTAATTAATTCTGAAGTAGTTTCGAATTACAAAAATTTCGAAAAGCAACTTTAATTAAAATTATTTTCGTAATTTCAAAACAAAATCGAAAAAGAATTAATTAGCAATGTATTCGAAAAAGAAATGTCGAAAAGAAAATAAAAAGAGAATTTAATTAATTGTAAAATGTTTCCGAATTACAAAAATTTCGGAACAGAATGAAGTAAAATTCTTTTCTGAATTTCGAAGAAGAAATGCCGAGAAAGAATGATTAATCCTACTTTGTTTTGAAAAACGAAAATATTTTTGAAAAAGAATAAAAAATTGAAAAAGAAATGTTAGGAAAGATAGATAATTAAGTATTTACAAGAATTTCAAATCGATGCTAAGTTAAAAAAATAATAGATAAAGGAATAAATGGTTTTTGACTAGGCTACCAGAGTGGCCCAGGGTCATTTGCCCAGCTGGGCCAAAAAAAAAAAGTAAATTAAAAATTAGAAAATACTTTTAAATGTTATTTGTTATTTTAATTTTGGCGAAGAATTTCGATGTGACCCTGGGGCAAAAGTTGTTCAGTTTATTTTTCTGCATAACATAGTTTTTTTTTGCGATTTTTTTGATTTTTTTTTTTTTTTTTCTGTGTTGGGACCTTCCCCGGTCCTTGCACGGGCTGGCCACCCGGGAGCCAGGCCGCCCGGCTGGTAGCCTAGGTTTTGAGCCAGGCCGCCCGGCTGGTAGCCTAGGTTTTTGATGTAAATCGAGGGCGGAGCGATCGTATCTATTATTTATTGGGTGGTAGTGTGGTAGGTAGGGGTATGGGTAGATTGATGATGATGATGATGATGGTAGG